GACATGTCAGGCGAAACGTCGGCCTCCCAGCCAACGACGCGGCGTCTCTCGGATAGCCGAGAATTTATAGCATCACACACATTTTCCCTCGCTCTCCTTCGTCAGTGTTCGGATCCACCTGTTGTCCAACATGCTAACGGAAGCAATGTAACTGGCATCACACTCATTTCCCCTCGCGCTCCTTCGTCGGTGTTCCGATCCACTTAATGTCTTTATCTACAGGTATCATTTTACAATATCATACAAAATAGGACATTATGAACCGATAATGATTGGTATTAACACAAGAGGGTGATATTACGATACGAGCAAGTATCGTAAGTTTCACATTAGTGTATTAGTATCCCTTACATCAACTTTCATACGTTACATTTTCTACGACTTATGGTAATTCTCATAAGTAAAACGTTTACATTGAATAGTTTCGTGGCAGTTGACATGCAGGATTCAGCCAAAGCCACTTAGCGGTCATCTCCCTACCTATACTGTCGCAGGTGGCATTGGTTTACCACAGTCAAATAGGATCAACGTGAAATAACGATTCAATTTATTTTGAATAATATTCTACATAAAAATAGTAATAATAAAAGAAATTATAACCGTCAAGCTAATGTAAAATTAAATGCAATTTTAATGTACACAATAAAAAATTTACTATATCGATTCTCAATGATTAATTAAGTGCAACTTGGTTTGTAAACTTCTCTGTGATTGGTCAAGAACCTATAATATAATTAAATCTGTATCGTAATGATTATCATTATGCATCAACTTGCAGCTATCAAATGACAGAATTATACAAATAGAGTAGAAAAAATATCTATTTTCGTTCTGAGGTCTTACAACAAAACGAAATGTCTAAATTTCTGTGACAATGACTTGACGTGATTAAATATTGTTTAATATAAATTAGTAATAAATTGTTGTTTTTCTCGGAAAATATAGTAAAATAAAATGAAGCTTCGACCGATAAAGGGTACTCATATTTGGAAGCTACAAAATCGTTGAAATTTCAATTCTTTTGCGCGAGACAAAATATACCGAAACACGTATAAAATGGTGAGATTAAACGAAAGTTTGAATGAAAAATAATGTAAATACTGTAAAGTAAATAATGTAAAGTAAAATACTACGATAGTTGAAAATGAATGATTACCAAAACAAGCTTCAACACTTGAAGGTATCGGGGCATTACGAAATAAACGTGTTTCATATTTTAATATATTAACATTCACTAAAAGTGGGAGGATTTTTGTGACTGACGTGACTTAACTCCAAACCCTTTATTTGTACTTGAATGTTGCAATTACCGTAATGCCCTTACAAACCACAGTAAAATCCCCTTCTCATTTACGACGAGTGACTCGGAATCCTCAGCGTTTACTATTCGTGCAAGTAACGAACGAACGAACTGTAACTGTTCGTAACGACTGAGTTAACAAGTCTTCAACCCGTACGGTTCAGCCCGTACTTACCATAATCTTTGCCCACACTCAGAACGACATGGCAAGATTATCAGGAATGCTTGCCATTGCTCTTCAATGAATTATGTTTTCGTATTTTCGCTATTTAAGGTATTCTGTCCTGCTTTAAGTTATTTGCTGATTTATCCGAAGATATTTACTTTCTTGGTTTAATAATTGCGATGTTATTTTTTGCGATATTATTGTGATGCTGATGACTGATAAGGGACTAAATATTTTCACACCATATCTACTAAACAGTATTATCATCTACTAATTATGATCACGTTTATTTGCATGATATTATTGAATTATTCGTCGTTTATGGTGTATCGTATTAATAACGAACGTTTTGGAATTAATTATGGTATTAATACTATAAGAGTTGTAAGCAACTATCTGATGTTATATTTGGAGAACCTTTTCGTCAGCGTACCCCGAGAATTCCAATTTAGTATCTCGCAGTGTGAGATGTCACGAAAACCCGCGCTTACAGAATTGTGTGCACTACTTTGATATTTGCAATTACTTCATTACGAGTGGGACATTTGAAGTACTTTTTTCTAAAGAATTCTCCCACCCTATAGTTAAATACTGTTTTCGCTCAGGGCTTCTATGTATTTGGCCAATAACCTCCACATGGAATAGCTGACATAGCTGCGCCACTTACCCGCGACGAGATCACCTCCGCCCCCGACAGAAGCGACTCGGACAGGGTGGCGCATAGGTCCGAATACACATCCTCCAGTTCCTGCAACACAGAAGACAGCGAGAATTAATACTTCTCTCGATTATCTCCTTAAGAAATTGAATGTATGGAAATGTCAATTACAGTAAGAGATGAGATTGTTAAACAATATGATTCTGACACACACATTAAACAATTCACCAAACGTCATTTTCGACTTATTTCTCACCTCATTGTAATTTACATTCACAGAAGAAGTCACAAATCATAGGTGAGTTTACAATAAAATAGTACACAGAATTAAACAGGGTTTATTCTCAACATCGCTTGAGACATTATTAATCGAGACATCAGTCACGAGAAAATAACTGATGTCATAGCTCAAAAATAAACACAGGACTGTCCGCTCACTTCACTCTTTCTCTTGCCTACTCTAGTCCGGTCGGACTAGAGTAGGGAAAGGAAAACCTTGTGTGCAAGTTCATTATTCCTTGAGATCTCTCCAAACGAGAATACAACATACCCTGAACCGTGAAAACTATTTAAATTACTGGTGTTTGCAAATGGTTACAATACTTACATCAATGTAAGTCGTTAATTAAATGATAAGTGTTTGCGGGGGCGTCGACGTCTAGGATCATTTGTCCCGTAAGAGTGATGTTTGTTTTTATTTCTGGAGGTGGCAATGATCTTACCACGCTGGATAGCGAGACCGATGCTTGGATACGTTTGTTTTGTTGGCAATGTCACACCCCTTGTCCTGAGGCGAGCCGATGTTACTGGATCTTAGTGGCGCGCGGTGTAAAACTCGCTGTTTGGAGAGTATGACTAGCGATTCTCATTGTGAGCTCAGCGGTGTTCGGAGTGAGACGGGCACTGACCGGAGTGAGCTGAGTGCTGCGTGCCGTGAGCAGAACTGTGAACATGTGAGTTGAACAGTGTGCGTACAGAGACGAACGGCGTCAGCGTATTTTAGCAACCACATCCTCCGCCGACGCAATAGCAACCCCATCCCCTCCCCCGACCGATCCTCTGCAACGCAACACGCTTGACGTCGGTGCGTTTACACGCTCGTGTTGCAGCAACCCCTACAATCATTACGCGATATTAATATTGGCTGAGAACCCACGAGAGTCGGGAGAAGTGAGAATGAAAAGGAAGAGAAAAAAGAAACGAGGAAGGTGAAAAGGAGAAGAAGAAAGAAGATAAAAAGAAAGAAGAAAAAGAAGAAATAAAAGACAAAGAGAAAGAAGCAAAGAAGATGGAGGCGAAAAAGAAAATTGCTAAAATTCCTCCTTGGACTTACAAAGTTAATAACGAAGGTGAAGGTATAAATAGAAGAAGGGTATGAAGGCAGTGAAGGAGATAAGAGGACAGGAAGAAGACAATGGAGATGAAAAAGTAAACTTTAAAAGGGAGAAGATGAACTGGATGAAGAAGTTGACGGAAACGAAGGTGAAGGAGTTGAAGAGGGAAATGCGAAGAGAAAGAAGAAAAAAGACAATGAGAAAAGGAATCCAAGAAAAAAAAGGAGAACGAGGCGAAGAGAAATGAAGAAAAAACGAAGAAATATTAATGAGACGAAGAACTATATGAAGAAACGCAAAAGATAAAAAGATGAAGAGGGGAAGGCAAAGAAAATGGACAAAGTGAAGAAGAGCGACAAGGTGAAGAAGATGGACTAAGTTAAGGTAGGCCAAGAGACATAGTACAGAACACTACGGAGAGGGCGGCGGAGATGAGGAAGACCAAGGAAGATGTAAAGAAGTAAACGAAAGAACGAGAAAGAAAGAAAGAAAATGAGGAAGAAAGAGAGAGAGAAAGAAAGAAAGAGAGAGAGAAAGAAAGAAAGAGAGAGAGAAAGAAAGAGAGAAAGAAAGAAAGAAAGAGAGAGAGAAAGAAAGGAAGAGAGAGAGAGAAAGAATGAGAGAGAGAAATAATGAGAGACAGAAAGAATGAGAGACAGAAAGAATGAGAGACAGAAAGAATGAGAGAGAGAAAGAATGAAAGAAAGAAAGAATGAAAGAAAGAAAGAATGAGAGACAGAAAGAATGAGAGAAAGAAAGAATGGGAGACAGAAAAAATGAGAGACAGAAAGAATGAGAGACAGAAAGAATGAGAGACAGAAAGAATGAGAGACAGAAAGAATGAGAGAAAGAAATAATGAGAGAAAGAAAGAATGAGAGAAAGAAAGAATGAGAGAAAGAAAGAGTTGGGCCGCTTTGAGCTGAGCGGTGCGCATTGTGGATTGAGGGACGAGCGCCGAGTAGGTGTTCAGACGAGCTGTTTCCGGCATGTGGCGCAGCGGTGCCCGCAGAAGCGTCGACCGTCGAAGTCGCAGGAGCGTCGACCGTCGACTCGAGCCTCAGGAGCGGCTCAACTGCTGATTCGCGCCGCGTCGCCGCTCACCGCTGTCGCGGGGGCGTCGCATGCGGCTGATTCCCCGAGGGGGCCCGCGCACTCACTCGGCATCCTCGGATCACGCTCTCTGCAGCTGTCTGCAGCTGCCTGCCGCTGACTCTCGACGCCACTGCGTTAATTAGTGCCAACGCTCCCTCAGACCGCTCACTTGCGCGCGGAATTGCAACGCGCCACCTCGGAGCCCCTTCGCGACGCGCTTCTGCGATGTCAAACGCGCTCACTGGGCTTAGAGCTGCCCGAGAATTTAATTAACACTGAGCGCTGGAGCGCGGCTTCAAGGAAGTAACTGCGAGGCGGAAGTAGAGTACAGTGATTGTTGCGAATAGTAAAACTTCTGAATGAACAGTAAGGAATGCACTACCGCAATAACATAATGCAGTAGAATAATGAGATCTTGTTGCGAACATACAGAAACGTCTCGAATATATTGAAATAACTACTTGAATAAGTAAAAAAATATTGATATCATACTATTCACTTTTCCTGTGTAATTTCTTTAACCGCTGCATTTCATGGAATATCAAGAAAAATTTCAGAAATTTACCGTCAACTCACCAATTAGAATAACGCAAGTGTTTATAAACGAACAGAAACTAGTAGTGCTCCAACAGCATATACTTTTTTGTATTAATTCTAAAATTAAAAAATTGGAGCGATTTTTAAAGAAATTTAAAAAATTGCGATGACCTTATTTCAAGATTTGTCTATAAAAACAGATTTTTAACAAGAAAAACAATATATATATATATATATATATATATATATATATATATATATATATATTGTCTGATGACAAGCATATTTTCACAATAATCTCATATGTACATAGTGGTTAAGAAAGTGCATCATAGTACAACACGTTTATTATGAGAATTCAGAACATGCCTTAAATCTATTAATTTGGAAGTATTGTATGTATATTCAACAAATAAACTATCTAATTTGACATTAATATAGTTGCGTACATGAATGAGAGAGCATTGCTAAGTTTGTTCCGAAAAAATATTTCCGAAACCTGGTAATTTTGTTGTTAATTTTCGTTTCGTTAACTACATGATTATTAGTGACTATTCTGTTACAATACATCAATAACATAATCAATTAATGAATATATCAATTGAAATAAAACATTTTAGTTAAAAGTCATATTGGGATAGTTACAATTCCAAACTATAGTGCCAAGTAACATGTATTCATCATCACTATTATTATTATTATTATTATTATTATTATTATTATTATTATTATTACTGAACCATCATTGACTGCAAATCACTGTGTATTTAACTTTTGTCGATTGCACGGTAAGTCTATTAAACATTATCCGAAAACACGAGTGATGCAGAACTTATGATACTCAATTATGGATATCGCAAACTTCATTCACTTGGTATAAAATCCAATAAAAATAAATTTCGTTTAAATATAACTATTCGTCTTGCAAACGAAGACATGTCGAGTGTAGCAATTAATTTATATTTCGCATAATTATTTTTTCACACAATACATTGATTTACTTACGTTTTAGCTCAAAATCCCTAATTTCAGCTTAAGTTCCATAAAATTGAGTCGCATAATGGTATTGTTTCTAATTTACATGTTCCACCGCAGGAACAGCTCTTATTTATCTTCGCGCTTTATCACCATCACTTTCACTCGCGTGCTTGCGGTGACTTTTGATTTTCCTATTTCCCGGCAGAGGTCTCTTCCGCTTCGCCATCGCAATAACGTATCCGCCGGGTCCCCCCCTCCCCGCGGCGTCAGTGTTTATGGCGGGAAGGAGGTCAAGAAAATAATATTTGTACATTACTGATCTTTGTTGTTAATTAGGCGTCATGGATTAATAGAACTCATGCATTGTAATAACTCTTATAGCGACACAAATCTCAGTTTACTAATGTGTTACCATGGGCAATCAATATGGGTAAAAAATATAACAGTGCACTGCAAAAATAAATATCAAAAAAGAAATACTTTCATTCTGAATATAAGAGAGAAGAAAAACGCGGAGATGGACAAACAAAATCGTACATACGTAGACTTGTTTTAAAACTTCGCGCTTAAAAGAAAAAAATCCTGAAATGGGAGATGCACCACGAGGAATATGGTGCTGCCATCTATGAGGCTCTCGCTTTGCCGCGAAGTGTTTCGGTAGAACGTCGCTGTGCAGCGCTGGAGTGGCAGCCGGAGCCCCACAAAGCTCTCTGCCGCTACGCTGGGAGGCGCCACTGGTCGACGCATGCACGCTTTACAACCAGCCAGTGTTTAGTACCTTTTGGTAACTTGTTTCTCACTTTTCTTAACAATTGATATGAAAGAGTCCTACACGTCTTCTTAACTCTAGGATGCATACGCAGGGCCTCCGAGGTCCTAATGCTTTTTACTTCACTTTTTACTCTGCACAGCTACATTTCTGAGTCTACCTTGTTATCTTTCTTTTATCTTCATATTTTCATTTTAATAATTGGCAAACAAAATAAATTCTTTAGAAGTTATATAGGTAGGTCCTGAAATACGATTCTATTAAGTCAATGCATATGCAGGACTTATAACACCCAGTTAATAGTTATTAAAAAGCCATAATAATAGTTATTTAGATAAATAATCATTTGTTTAATATAACGAGTTGGCTTTTATTAAAATTATTAAGAAATGAAGTCAGTAAGAATAAAATAAACAATTTTTATTAGTATTTTTCGGGAGAGTATTACATAGAGCCTCAGAGGCCCTGCATATGCATTCATGTAATTTCCCGGGTCCGCCCCTCCGTCCACCCGTCCACCCGTTAACCCGTCCACCCGTCCCCCCGTCCCCCCGTCCCCCGTCCATCCGTCTATCCGTCTATCCGTCTATCCGTCTATCCGTCTATCCGTCTGTCCATCTGTCCGTCTGTCCATCTGTCCGTCTGTCCATCTGTCCGTCTGTCCATCTGTCCGTCTGTCCATCTGTCCATCTGTCCATCTGTCCATCCGTCCATCCGTCCATCCGTCCATCCGTCCATCCGTCCATCCGTCCATCCGTCCATCCGTCCATCCATCCATCCATCCATCCACCCATCCATCCTAAGGTCAAGCACCTGAAATTATTTAAAATAGGCTGAACATTTATAACTTTCGAATTCAATGAGTAAATTGACTTCAGATTATTCCTCATTCATAAGAATTTGCATGAAAAATAAGATAAATATTCATTTGAACATATAAATTGAATTTAAACAATTGAGAACTTTTGAATTCAAAATGTTTTGAATTCAAAATTGCAATGTTGGGGATTAGAATGATTGTATGTAATAATATGACGGAGTACTACGTGCTTGGAGAAAAAGCAACAAGAATAATGAATAATTTTAAAAATATTTTCCAACGTTATTTTTTTAGTAACGTAAACAATTTATTGAAATGTATTTTCTCATGAGCATTATATGATAATTCATTATTTTTTATCCTATTTGTATTGAGAATTAAATTTATGATCAGAACTATTTAGTGAAACTGTGCTGAAGAGTCCGAATTTGAAAAATAGCAAATGGAACACAATTGTTTGTTGTTGTGCTTTTTCTTTTTGAATGTTGTGTACGATAACACAATGCTGCCAATCAATTGTATGATAATAAATCGTTTTTTCCAAGCACCCTGGCATAGCCCCGTGTGACCAATATATTACTGTATTTTAGAATAGTTTCAGAATGATTCTGGCACAATAATTCATATTCCAAACACATGCGGTATAATTAGAGGATTGAACACTATCTCTAAAGGTTTGAATAATTACATATCATTTTGTGAGACCAAATTCAGATTATTGTTTGAATTCTATTTATAAGGAAAAAGAAGGCGCGGAGGGGTTTCAACGCTTAAGAGTTATTTAAACAAAGTTATTGCAAAATATCTTCGTGTTATTTCAGGAAATCTGTGCTGTTCAGGGAAAAGAAGCAGAGGAAAGCAATGCTGAGTTTTAGTTTAGTGACGCACAGGAAAGTTTCCGAAAACTTCTTTCCACTCCCATTCTAATTACCAACAAACTTCTTAATAAGCACAACGAATCAAAACGTGTTGTGCTTATGAAAGTTTTTTGCTTTAAGTATCTCGATGAGTGTTATTCAACAGTTCTAGTAGTTTCCGTCTTCCGAGTGAAACAAATACAATGTAATGTTCAAAAAGTAAAATTTACAAGCGATATAAAGCATGCCTTTCAATATTTTCTGTTAATCTTCTAGAATATTGGGAAAGGAAAAGCTTTATTCTTCCCCGCAAAATTCTGAATGATGTTAGTGAAACAATTCTTTTTACAGTTTGAAAACAGTTCTTATTGCTTTTCAGAACACCGTCAACCTACTATCAGCACCGACAGTACATACGAAGCACTTCTTTGGTGTTTTTGTAATAGTTAATTTTTTGTAACATTTTAATACTTTAGCCTCCTATTACTTCTGGAAATTAATATGAATGCATATCCTAAGGAATAAGGACGACATAATTTGTAAAATATTGTAGAACAAAGTGTGTAATAGTTACGATTAGGTAGGCGATCTCCCAAGCATTTTATGAAATACATAAAATATAAATAACGTTTTTTTAAACTTGATGGGTTTCCCATCTGATTCGGCGACGTCACGTTCTTGATTATTGAGTAATTTACGTAAACGTTTCTTGTATGTCATTGAACCTCTGCAACTCTAACTAGTCTCTTGGCATGGACAATTCACATAAATTACGTCTGCATAAACTTCTCTAGAAGATGGCAGTTTTGTTGGCAACGTTTCAAGGTGACCATAGTGATTCATGCAAATCATTTCTATAAGTAAGCACGTTCTTTAGTATGATCTGTGATGTGAAAAAAATTAATATGTACGAATTTAATTAGAATTTGTTAAGGTTTTCTTGAAACTTCCTACCCTTGAAACCCTCACGTCACTTGGTTTTCAACACATCAAGAGGGAAGGTTTAATGTCCTCACATCATAGAAAATGTACAATATTAAGACGAAAAATCTGATTATAACGGCTGTAAACAAAAAAATAATATTTCCGTTTCTGTTTCCCATGACACTCTTCTACATTTGATTAATCTTCCATTGAAGTAGAAGAGTTCTAGTTCCTGTTCTTGAACAACCGTTTTGCTTCCGTGGGCAACTTGAAAGCGGATTGTTTCGTTTGTCACCTGAGTACGTGGCGGAAGAGGAACGGGCTAGCAACGCGACAGAGATCAAGAGCGCCGGGGAGCGGTTGGGAGGGGGTGGGGACGATCGTGCGCGTGCCGGGCAGCCGAGGAGACAATTGCATTAGGGTAATTGCGCGCGACAGCATCGACGAGCGCAGCCAGCGCCGCCCCGAGCGGCCTCGACTCGGCTCCACGCGGTCTCCGCCCTCATCCCGCTGCATATCCCTCCCTTCTCGTCCCTTTCACGCTCCCCACCTCATCTTCACCGCCACCTCTTCCGCTCTTCGCACACTCATAGCCTCTTCTGCATTCACTGCGTCTTTCCAAACCATCGCCTGTTCTGCTCTTCCTGCACTCCTCGTCTCTTTCCCACTCCTCGTCTCTTTCCCGCTCCTCGTCTCTTTCCCGCTCCTCGTCTCTTTCCCGCTCCTCGTCTCTTGCCCGCTCCTCGTCTCTTGCCCGCTCCTCGTCTCTTGCCCGCTCCTCGTCTCTTGCCCGCTCCTCGTCTCTTGCCCACTCCTCGTCTCTTGCCCACTCCTCATCTCTTGCCCACTCCTCGTCTCTTTCCCACTCCCCGCCTCTTTCACACTCCCCGCCTCTTTCACACCCCACCTCACGCGCACTTTCCGCACTCACAGCCTCTTCTGCTCTTCCTGTACTCCCTGCCTCTTGAGCACTTTCTGCACTCCCCGCATCATCCGCACTCTAGCATCTTCCGCTCTTCCGCTCTTCCGGTACTCCTCGCCTCTTCAGCACTTTTCACCTCTTTCGAGCTCCAACACCTAGCTCCTTGCCCCATTTCCGTTTCTAATTGATTGATGTTTCTGGTCGCGTCAACTGCTAAGGCCATAAGTGCATGTTTTATCGCGGGAGGTCGCGGTGATCTTCCTCGCTAGATGATGACATTCGGTTCCGAGCTTCACGTTGATTTGCGGGATTTTCCCACCCACTGTGTCCAACAAGAGGGTCACAACCTCAGCCAGGACAAGCCCGAGACTCCCGACACGTGTAGTACATGTAAGTGTATGTGAGTGTTTGTGCCTGTGTGTGTGTGTGTGTGAGGGAAGAGGATAGGAGAGGACAAATAGGTGGAGAGAATAATCGCCCGCGGTCCGTAGCCCGTTAGTTAGGTTACTACTCCGGCATTCACTTGGTGTTGATCGGAGAAACCACGGAAAACTTCCAATCAGAGCAGCCGACCGCTAGAAATCCCCTCCAGACAGGAAATGAATTCGACTTCCCTAGCTAGTGTCGAATCCTCCCACCGACATGATTCGAACCTTCGATCTTCCCGGTCGCCTCTCGTTTCATTTTCGCTTTACTATCGTTTACCCCTTTCCTCTCCTCGAATCTTCATTACTTCATCTTCCCCTACCTTCTTTCCACCTTTCTCTCTCTTCGCACTTGACAATAGAAATACATTAATTACATACGGAGAACGTTGACATGTACTAATATCTGTGAAAAAAAATAATTCTTTACTTTTTCTTTGAGTACGGTAATGGTTGCAAGTAATGGTGGCAAGTCTTTGGAGTACGAAATAAATATTTTCTGAGGATTTTGCGAATTTCAGCGATTTTCTAGTCGCTGACACGAGCCGGGATCGGAAGTATAAAGTGAGTCTACAAAAGACACATTCGTACGAGATGTGTACATTAATTTGGTAATGAATTCATAGAAAGGTGCGTGTATTGTTGAAAAGAGTATAGTCTTGAGATCTTTGATTTACATTGCTCCAATATTTTAGAAGGCGTCGGAATGCGGAAAGAGACACTTTCTCGTTACTGTTTACAATTTAGAAAAAAATTAAAATGCTCAAAAGTTTGAAAAGTTACTAAGTCTTTGTTTAAATTTTACCCCAGAACAGCGTAAGGGACACATAAGAGAATGGTGTACATTTTCATTAAAATCCATGATAGTTCGAAAATGTAAAATTCAATTTGTTTTCGGTGTCTTCCTACAACTAGAGCTATGAAGACTATTCCACTAGTGATATTAAAAACAAAAGTGTATAACAATACATACAAAATGCCCCAATCAGGGCGGTGTATCTCAAAAGGTTTATCGCTTTTTCTACCCGATTTTTCTTACCGCTTCTACCTACTCGCCAATCATAAACTGTGACTCGTCTATCTTAGGAGTCGTTATACATCGATCGCTATGTCGATGTCCAATAAACAGCGTATGTACTATAACACTGATTTTAACATACGCTACAAGTTATTTTCTATATTTCGCGCAGTTTAGAACTCTGTTAGACATTATTTCACTCGTGCAATAGTCCACGCACAATAGCAAAGGACGGTAAAGGAACGTATAACTAACAAATACATCTTTTATTTAAGAAGTTTCGATCGCCGATTATAGTATTCATAAATAATCAGCTTACTTGAATGTAATCAAAGCACGCTTGTGTAAAATTATTCTTGATTTTATGTATAATGAGCTGAAAATACTGCAATAGTTAAATTTATTCATGTTTGTATCAGTTGTACCAATTAGAAATGTCTACTGTTGCTGACATAAACTGACTTGCTGACATAACTGTAATAAATGCAGATACGCACAACGGGCGCTTCGGTTGATTTGGACCTTTTAAGTTACACAAGTAACTGTGGTTTTCGTATAGCAGAAATCACAATATTCTCATATTACGCACGTATTTCGAATAATGCGAGAAACACTTCTACTTTAATCTACAAACAGGAAACGAAAGTAGTGGTTTTCATTCACGAGCAAAAAGTAGTTTTCAAAAAGTAGTTTCAAATAGTAGTTTACGAAACAGGAGCGCAAAACAGGTGATTCTCGTACGAGTCGAGTTTGTTGTTCGAGCGTAGCAAGGACGATAAAGAGATGAGTGCGGGAATCACCTCTCATCCGTGCTGCGTACACTATTTTTTAACATGTAAGCAAAACGCAATGCGTGAAGTAAAGGAATATACAATAAATACCAAAAACTAGAAATACCTAACTTGTACAAAAGTAAATGGATTCCAGATAGTGTTGTAAGACTATTTTTGTAAATAAACACAGACGTCAAGACGAAAGACAATTGCGAATCGTTATAGATGTTTCGCACACGCTGCGCGATGTTTCGCTCACTGAAAAAAATCAGCTGTCTCGCATACGGAAAACAAGCACGAAAAACCGCGTCTTGCAAACGGCGTATTAAAAAACTAATTTACAGCAAATTTGTTTGAGATATTTTTATCCCGAATCTCTCCAGAGTGCTTCAATAGTCGAGCGATCGTAGTTTCTTTGTTTTGCTAGTGTAAGAGCTTGTTCTCGTGAACAGTTAAGGGAAATGTTATCCCATCGCTGTTTGCAGAAGCCCCGCAGACGAAACAGATATCCGCCGCTGAGATTTCCCGTGGGGAAATGCGAGCAGTTAGAACGGCGTGGCCCTTCTATCATCTGATATGTGAGGCTTCAGACACAACGTGATTCACGAGTTAAAGTTTCATCGCCTATGATGGAGGGCATGCTAGGGGGAGGAGCAATATTAGGTAGCTCACGAATGGATTTTCTTGATATTCCACATAAATCTTCGACGTTTCTATGGGATTAAAAATATCGACCAAAAGTTGAGAAATGTATGTGGAAAACATAAACTGCTTGACAGAGAAAGGGGTGGAATTTTGGGGAGTACTCCGAAATGAAGTTTGACGATAAACTAGAAGTAACGGAGAAGTTTGCTACATGGAAGAAGAAATATAACTTATATAATCATGAAAGCAGTACTATTTAAAAGAAATAGTTTCGATTATTCTTCTCCATTTATTGTCGTTTTGCGGTGCACTCCGCACGCTCCCTTTTCAATGTCATAATTCACACTTTGAGACGATTCACAACGATTATTTATCTAAACTATGGTTTAATACTAAAATATTTTAAGAACGGTGAAAAATATTTATTTATTCTTGAAATAAAAACGTCCTATAAATGATAACTCACTTTCAGCAACACCTAGACATTCAGTCAGTGATAAGGAAAAATAAGTTTCTTGAGGTAGAGACGAATTTCCAGCATCCATCTTCCCCGAGCCACGGTATACAAGTATATTGTTGAAATAGATATATCGCAAGCAATACCAAAAATATCGATTATCGTGCCGCAACAACAGAATTCATGTGTTTCATATCGCTGTAATGTCGTTAAGTTCTCAAAAATATTGAGGTTTTTATAGTGACTGATAAAACGCTGACCATATCACGAAATGTTACAGTATTACTGCGTGGTCCAAATTAAATATTTCGGTCCGCTACGCTCCGCCTCAATTTTTAACTTTTGACATTGGCAGTAATAACACTCATAACATTTCTAGGTATGTTAATAGCTATAAATAACTTATTGGTTAATAGATTTACAAAAATAATCAAATTAAGATGTTGGGTAGATGAACCTAGATATAGGATGTCCCAGACAAATAATACCAGTATTATAATTTACGCGTTCCAAAGAATATCTTATGTCTCAACACTACTTGAATAACCTTCTCGTTTTGAAGATTATTTCTTAAAACATGCTCTATTATAATTTTAAATGTTATTCGGACTTTGTTCCTACGTTGAACAACTTCGAACATAGCACTGCTGCGCCATGTGACGCTGTCGTGAGATCGCGGATCACAGGAATGAATTCAAAAACTTTTTAGGAGGTATTGAATATTTAAACATTCACAAATGTTTATGCACGACAGTCTCGCAAGTTACCGTATTGATGTAAGCGCAGACGCAATGACGTCGTGTTAAGTTAGGGAGATGAAACAGTGTGAACCCACTGGCGACACATTTCAATGCCTCTGCATTTACTTTCGGAATTAGCTAACATTCTGAAGGAACTTAGAAACAAGATCTGCCGAAAATGTAAAAACAATTTCTAAATGCGTTATTAAGTTAACTCGGCCAAAGTTGTGACATTTGCGCTTCTCGTCTCACGCGAGCAGCTCATGCACATGCGAAGGACGCTGCAAAGGCCACGACTTGCCACGCTTCGGCGCGAACTGTTTAAAAGTCTTTATTTTCTCGTCTTTATTTCATGAGAAGAAAAAGTTTGGGAATGGTACACCAAAAAATGCGAATTTTCGACATAAAAACTCTCTTTTTTCTGGGCCCTTTTTAAAAATAATCTATTTATGCATGTTCGATAAAACATTATCTTTCAAGGGGTTGAAGTAAATACAATAACAATCAGAGATTAGGAATTGTTGGACCGTGATAATTAAACAGGTATTGGACTATAGTCCTGGAATACTAAGCTAATTATTTGATTTCCACAGTGCAGAATTGGAAGCATCGAATTCAAACGGGTGGATGGAGAGTTTTTGCAATAGACGTATGATAGTTTTAACTAACTTATTGGTTAATCGGGTAACAAAAATAATCAAATTAGGATGTCCGGTAGATGAACCTTCTTTTTATATGTAGAAAATGACTTCCAAGACGTAGTTAAGTCTCAATTAATGTTTTGTTGGTTCTTGATACCAAAAGTGAAGTCTTTCTTTTCTCATTCTTACTTCATAAGAAGATAAACTATTACAACCGTGGGCGTACTATAATATTCCGTTACAAATAATGTGAGAAAGTATATGCTGTTGTTGCATCACTACTTTTACTAACAAAATAAGATCCATCATGTACCTTAAACTTAGACCCACGAATTTCGATGAAAACAAAGACACATCGACGAGTATTTTCATAATCTCTGGATTTGGCGTAAGACATCGTTGGCTTACGAGGTTTCCTGATTTAATCCCCCTGGTTTTATCTTCAGAGATACTTAAAACACGAAGTTTCCAAATAACTTTGTGTAATGCTTTCATATGAGAAAAGATATTCGCTGTACTAGAGATGTAATGCATTCTGTAGGAGGGTAAATTGAATTTGCATAATAATATTGTTCCTGTTTTTTGATACTCTATCAGCTGCTTCGTTTCCATCAATCCCACAGCATGAAGGTATTCACTGAAAATGTATGTTTTTCATTTAACCTTTACGTAATGATTTTCCACATTCAAATGCTCGCCAACTAATGCTATGATATTAAACTATGAACACTTACGTCGTTTATGTGTCAGATCAAAAAGGAGGAGAGAAATAAAATGTAGTGAAATCAGTAACAGAAAATATCATAACCTAATTTCAAACTGATTCTCATTTTCGCTACGTTCATTGTAATTAGTTCTCACATCTTCTCATACTACATTTCCTTTCTCGTGTGTATAATACCATGACTTTTGCGACAAAATTCCTTTTAATTTTATAAACGTTCGATGTTTTTCACGCAACGACAACCGACACAGAACAGCAGTGGATCGTGATATTTCAGAGAGTAAGAAATGCAAGTAAAGTCGTTGATAAAGTGGGAGTAATTTCTTTATCCTTCACTTACCTTTCCCTGTACAGTCAGTTACCTAAAAAATGTTATAGTTCGGTTGCAATATCCGAAATCTTTCAGTGCCCAAAACTTTGTATTCAAACGGTCTAGATTTACTTTTCGGAAAAATTAATTGTGAATTTAGAGCGATTGTTAACATTTATTATTGACTTAAGTCGACTTAATTAAAATTAAATTACTTGCAGAACAAGATGTCCCTTGTATACGGGTATTTTGAATGATATATTATGTTCTACTGATTGCTGTAGTGTGCTTGTGGTAGACATTTTGATTGACATAGAATCATCCATATAATCTTCCTAACAATAACCAACTCTCATACTGTTTCGTGGTTCACTTGACGTAATATGACAGTTGCAACTAGCCGCGGCAGAGCGCGTCGAGCTGTTGCCCTCTGTAGAACCCTCTGCCGTGTGCAATGAACTAAGACGAATGTGATTGGTAGACAGACGAGGAAGAATAATATTCTCGCACGGCTTGTGGAATCGTCATCACTGTGTCCGATAACGTGCAGAAATGTATACATTCTGGAGAAAGTGTGTTAGCTAATATTTTTTTTATTTTTGACAAAATGTACATCAAATATTTGTCAAAAATATCAAATTGTTTTCAGTTTAGAAAGCGCAAAAGAATTTCGGCCTGAACTCTTCACACTGAGCCAAATGTATATGTAACTTTATTGTAGGAATGGGAACGGCTCGTCATTTTTCGTAAACTAAGAAATTTCATTAAATCGGTACATTGGAACCAAACATGTGCTTTGGCCTCTCAGTTTATAATTAAGTTTATTCAAATATCTCACCAAACGCACTATATATAATATTTAACGTTAGGTGCGATGTCGTATGATAAAGTTCGAAAATCTGGAATTATAAAGTATTTTACCTTTTATTCGTTTTCAACTTGCTTGATATCTACAAAAAGTAACGATAATTCGAAAAATATGTATTATTAATCATTAAATTCCGCATTGTGGTTTTAGCACTCCAATTATATGCAACATGTATGTATCTCTTTAAAATTGCCGTTCGTTCTGCAAAGTTGTATTCCACTAGGTATCTGCGACCTCTTAAATCGGAGGCAAGCCCGTTAAACGTGCAGGTTAATCGCCGCTGCCAAGTTCAAAGGAGCTGCGCGTAAATTCCTGAGTCTGTTAGGATAAGCGCCGAGCAATAATTCACTGGAAGCGTCGCCAGCCCACTCGTCCGCCCCGCGCTCCGAACCTTTCGTTTCCCCTGCGGTGGAGAAGATCGTCCGCTCCGCAAGGAAAGGCATCTGCAAAATTCGCCCAAGAGGATGGGAGGACCCTAATGAGGAAACACTGCATGAAAAATGTGGAGAATGGTGGTTGTGAAATTTCGTATACATTTACTGAAGATGAAGAAGAAAATCATTTTAATATACTGCTAATATAGTTTGAAGCAAACTGATTTTTTTCTGAATATTTTTATTATATTAAGATATTGATTGCGAAGTATGCTGTAATGTGTATCAAAGCTAACATAAACTATCTACTCTTCTACAGTAGAATCTATCAAACTGTGTATGTATGTATTTATGTATGTAGTATCTATGTATGTATAAAAGGAAATGTGCGTATGTCTGTCGAACATAGACGAAAAACCTACTCAACCGATTACGCTAAAATTCTCACACATTATTCTTGTTGGTATCGGGAGCATTTAAAGAGTGGATTGAATGAAATCTGACATGTCTGGGCGTTGTTAATGATTCGCGTTTATGACTCGCGCGGTCTACTGAACAGAAGAGCTAGGCATCCCGTTGCACCGTCAAGTATTGAGGGCGTTTATGCCTGCAAATGTCGCCCCTGCAATTGTGAAATATCGGCCGGAATTTTAACACCCGAAAGTACTTGAACGTTTCAAGTCCAAACCAAGACATATAACAAACTCTTACTCGTGAGAAACCCTTCAATCTATGAGAAAATTTTGCAGAGCGTAGCGTAAAACATCATTAACATATCACGTGACCAGTAGTGTGTGAAGTGTAATACACTACTACAGCAAAGTATTGCCTGATCCCCTAGTAAATTATAAATAAAAGCATTATTCAATCTAAAACAGATGGCAACACTAAAATAATATTTCATTGTCTAAACGTTATTTTTACTGCCAGAAAATACGCCAAAATAAAGTAAAATTACTTCTCCTAAGAAACAGAAGATTAGCTACTTGACACCTTCGGTGTGCGATTATGTAAAGGAAATTAAAGTCGCAACAGATTCCTCGGAGTCGCATTTTGAACGCTCCCCCTGTCGCAAGTCGTGGGAAACTTCTCCAAGTGTCAGAATTCGGTTAAAGTACATTTACATAAAAGTCGGGAGCTCAAGTGGAAGCCACTTTATAGGTCTCGTATTCTGCGAAAGAGCTGCAAATAAGATTATTTCAGGTCGATGCATTGCGACGCGGTTTCGAGGAGACAGGACGAAAGAACACTGCGCGAGAAAAATGGAGACTGTGCTCTTAAAAAATGGGATGTTGCAAAGGAATAGGTATAAGGTGCTGGACATGGTTAAGCAAATTTAATATGCATTGTTTATCTTTTTTGGAAGTAAGATGAGTTTAAATTGTTGTTGAGTTTACAAAACGTTTGACAAACTTGAAAAATATTCACCAAAAAGTTATTAAATTTATTAAATTACGTCGAATAAAATGTGAGTAAACTTGAAGGAAAATTGCAATTTATGTTTGGGTTTTTATTTTTGATAAAATGTGGTGCCTTTTTAAGTTAGGGATTAGTTGTTTTTCATTTTTCAATACCAGCAAATACTAATAAGTGTTGAGGTAGATGAATTCGGAATCCACTTTTGGCCTTTAAGAAACAATAATTTCTGATACTATATATTGATGTTTTTGAATTTGTAGTTATAATATTAGAGTCGACAACTACATTTCACCAACCAATCTACCGTTGAGATTAGTGGATGTGCAATTCAAAATACATCAATCATTTAAAGAAACCGTCATATTATTTCAATTATTGAAATACGTTTTGAACATGAAAAATATTGTAAATGCAAAACGTTTCCTAATTATTTATTTTCTCGGTTTTAGGGATCTTTGATCCTTCAGTTCGTAAAAGCTATAAGAAGACGATAAGTGTTAATAATGATGAAGTGAAGGACTGATATTTAAAGTTTAGAATTCCTTACGAAACTATTCAAAAAATGTAGGAGATAGTAGCAACCATTTGCATATTTACATATAATTCATATTTTCTTTACACAAATATAAAAATACACAGAAAAATGGTGGCCAGTTTGCGACTTGAAATTCTACAGAACTACGTAGTACAGACAAACAAGAAGACAAACAAATGAATCAGTACGGCAATTCGATGTTGTGTGCAAGTACGGCTGTCGAGTGCAAACATATGGTAATTCGTGCAGCCGAACGGAGGGAAATCTCGTTGTAAACACGAAAATGCAATTTACAAGTCAAGTTCGAAGCGTGCTCTTCGAAGCGGACACTAAAAGCGAACAAAAGAAAGGCGCGCGACTTAAAACACGAAGAAAAAGAAGGTGGCTTACACTGGTTCGAAATAGACCAGAAGGCGCTCTTTGGAAAAATAATGAAAATGTCAATATAAACTAATCATTTTGTTTCTTAAGGGTGCACGCGATTGTTTTGCGAAGCAGAGCAGTTAGTTACGAGATTAAAGTGTATAATTTTTGCACTCACATGGTTTTCGTTAGGTAACAATAAATAAAAATATATTCATGAAGGTACAATAAGAGAGAAACTGCGAAAGAACGACAATGATACCGATGTTTCATGCCAATGTGCAAGTGGGAAACTGCCATGACCCACTGTGTCGGCCGCTCCAGACGCAAGGCGGGGTGCAGATTCCGCAGCGGCAATCTCCAATGGACGCAGAAGATTCTCGAAGGGCAGAGGACTCTACCAGAGCCCTTCGGTGAAGAGGACGGGAAGGACAGAGGGAGAGAGAAAGAGAGCGATAGAGAGGCGGGGGCAGCAAGCAATAAGGCGGGCGACCGGCCACTCGCAAGCAAATACTTTCGAGATCGAGGGTCGGGTGTCGATCGCAATTAGGGGGCCGAAACGCGAGGCCACCGCCGCCGCTTCCCCTGTCGCTCCCGCCTCCACCACCGCTTTCTCACCCGCCGCTTTCTCTCCATCCTCCTCCCCACCTCCACCTCTCTCCTCCTTCCCGCCACTACCACCTGCCTCATCCTCCATCGCTTGCTCTTCCTCTACCTCCTCGTCCGCTTCCACCTCCGCCTCCTAGACAATCTTCTTCTCTTCCAAAAACGCTGCCTCCACCGCCTGAGTCCCCATTTCCACTGCCTCCTGCTCCGTTTCTCTGTCCTCCACCGCTGCCTCTTCTTGACCTCCGCCGCTTTCGTGAACGCCTCAGCCGCCTCCACCTCGCACTTCCTTGTCCTTTCAGACCACGCTCCAGAGGCTCTCTCAACACGCTCGTTGCCTGCGCTCTCGCTTCCCACGTACTGTACCTGATCTTGTGTTTCGACACTCTCACCGCACCCGTGTGATTACCTCTTGTTTTCTTCTCAAAAAGGAATTCCAACTTTCACTATGTTTGAAAACTACTGTCTCTCTCAGCTCTGTATCGACGAATAATACAAATATTTATACCTACGTTCTACGATGAATGACGATGCAGTAACAGGAAATGCTCCTAGAAATTTATCACCAAAGTAGCGCACGTTTTCTTGAGCCGTAGATTCACTAGATGCGAGAAGAGTGGAAGGATTGATAAATTTGTAAACAGGACTATTATATAATATCTACAGCTCGTTTTACAATGCAAAATAAACTTCTATTACGTGGGAGCAAGTATTTCTGATACCATATTTAAACGGGTATGTTAAACGGGTTTACCGCAGTAGAGGCCTGACAAAATAGTGGAAGTATGTGAACATTACGTTAAAATCAGGATCGTATATAGAATTTTCACTAGATTACTTATGGCCTTCTTTGACCATGTACATAGATAGTCTCTTACACAAAATATTTGTATCTATTTCATCCGTTTAATTCTTCAACTCCTCTATTTACCTCGTTTCTTAACATAAATCTGCTTTTATAAAAGGATCCTATTGTTGTCTCACAAAGGTATAGAACCAGTTACCCAATAACTGCAATAAATATTTCTGGATTTACGATATATTCAATCTATTTATCATGATTTCGAAATAGAAGAATGGATTAAATGTATGACATTTTCTTAAACATTAGAGTCGAGAGTTTAAATAATTATATGGACAAATTGGCTTTAAATACTGCGATGGACATTCAATATTTCAATTTTTGAATCTATTACATCAAAATGAAAATAACGAATATATTAACGCCTATCAATTTCTTTAAATGAAGTCAAGCATGTTTTTACCACTTTGTGTTTATTTTGTGACCTCTATAAGCAGGTAGAAACAGGAACGAGCTATTATAAACTCAAGAGTGAAGGAGACTATTAAACCAACAAAGCGAATTATAATCACTGTTCACAATAGCACTCAAAGGATACCAAATTCAGCAATATTGCAACTCAGTTACAGTTGCAATCAGACGGTTTGAGTAGTTAACGTAAATTACGATGTGGCATAAGGCCATAATCCGCATAATTATTTTGTACCGATACAGCACCAACCCCCTGCCGCGCCTACTCCTCCTCGGCGCGGAGTCTCCCAAAGAGCACAGCGGGTGCAAATTTTCGCCCGCCCGCTCATTCATTACCACCAATTGAGAGAAGTGGGATTTCATTATCGCTTCCCGAACACGTGGATTCAACAAGCAGCCGAAGCTCGCCTGCGATTAGAACCCTAAAGGAGCAATGAACCACATCCGGTGTAGTTTATGAGGAACAATTAAGGATTGTTTATTTGAATCGTTCTTCTCTTTTACTGCTTTTGGATGAATTTGATTAGTCGAAAATGTTCGTCTCTGTTACGAAAAGTAACCGTTTAAAATATGTTATTTTATGTCAATTACTTAAAATATTTCGACATCTTTCAAATAATTACGCTAGAAAACAATCCGAAATTCAATTGACCATTTGTTGTCAATGTCCACTAATAATTAGTTTACCCTATCATAACGTATAATTTTTAAAGAAGTGCACAGTGCTAATGTATATGGAAGCCGGTTAATTGTTCCATAATTATTAATGTATCCTACCACAGCCGTAACGATTTCTCTCCGTGGAGCGCTATTATAATTTCCGATGGCAACAGTGCAAGAAATGCAAAGGTCAAAGCGTCAAACGTTGTTGCCATCGTCCCGCGCCTCTAAACTCCGTTCTCCTACCCTATCAAGGTTAATGTTCGAAAGACTGACAAAGAACGTGGCTTGCATTATGATTTATACGATTCGCTTACTCCTAGTTAAACATTATTTGAGCACGAGCATTAGTTACACCTGTATGTATATATGTATGTTCTGTATTTAGTTCCGCACATCAGCCTTTACGAGCAAAGGCCAATCAGCTGCGTCCCGACCTTGGGGCCATGGGTTAAGGGGTACATGTCGTTAGCACATCGCGATCTCTACGCTGTGTTCTAGTATTATCAACCTGAGACGTGAGCTCTCCCATTGTCTCGCAGCAACAGATATTGGGACATGGCAAGAAAAGCGCACAATTAATGTTTGCTCCGACCGGGAACCGAACCTAGGGTTGCCTCGTAGAAACCTAGCCCGCTTACCAACGAGCAACTAGTGACACCTGTATTCGAAATAATATCACGAGAAATTCGTTATTTCCTGCCATCCTCAAACGACCTTCATGTATTCACATTCACCAAAGCTCGCTTTCGTCGACACTAGAATGAGTTTTCTAATGAGCTGTAATGTAGGCTTTTGCGCCTCCCCCACCGCCTGTCTTGTGCGTCGCGACATCGCTCATCCTCCGTGCCGGGGGCTCCGGAAAGGCGCTCCTTGCTCCCGAGGCAACCTCCCGGGGTGGGGGAGTCTGACGGTTCTCCCTTTCTTTACGACCTCCCGCCCCACGGCTTATAACGTCGTCGAAGCCGAGGTTTCACGCAGATAGAAAATTTTAACATTTAGTTGGGGAACATGCTGAGTTTACAGTAGAAACGTCTATAATGATAACAAACTGGAAAAGCAATGACGTTTAATAAATGCTGTTTACAGCACATATACGACAAAAAAAACTTAGTAAATTGACATTGCAAATCGCTTACTTAAATTCAGTGGTAGAGACAGACATCTTGAAGTAATCTGTAATGGGCGAGCGGTTATATAAAGGAAGTTAAGTTATAGTGGGCTGTATACACTCTGCACGTTCATTCTCTTAACTCAGGATTAGTAAATACATTTAGTAAATCCCTATTGTGAAAATGAAAACAGGATTTTAATAAACATTTTTAGAATGCCTTAATGGATAAGATAAATTAAAATTACAATATTAAGAAAATTACATCAAAATATTAAAATTAATAAGCTTTGATAGATCAGTAATGTATCAAGTGATACAAACAAAGTATTGAAAAAGTACAACTGCGACATTTCAAAATTAATCAGCTTTGGGAGTTTAGTGCAACATTACAAACACAATAAAAAGATAATTACAACAGCAACATATTCAAATAGTTCGTTTTTGAGGGTTTACTATCGTTGCCGTATGAAGTATAATGAAGATAAGTACAATAATTTTGTAATGTTCACAGTGTTCTCAGAAATCCGTTACATAAAAAAAGTCATAAGCTGTTTGTAAGAAATAGCATCGCTTTCGGCAGCTGTTCATTTAACAATGACAACCAAACGGAGCGATACTATACCCGAGAAGGAAATGTAGAAATCAGTATCAACTGCGCAAGTTCGTGGTGCGAACAAAGACTATGATATTACAGGATTAGAACGTGATTCACAATCCACATACTTATGATTTACATAAATTACATTGCAATCCCACTTAAGCAATGTAACGCTAATGAGAGCGTGGCAGCATATCCGGCCCCCTCGATGTGTGCTGGTCGAGTGAATGAGCAGAGTTTCTTGTTGCGCAGCGGAAGAAATTCCCAGAAAATAATTTAAGCACTTTAAAGGCGCGAATGTTAATCTGATAGATTATAGGAAGTTAATTGGAGTAATTTTAAATGTCTCGTGTTGTGTAAAGAACTTGAATGTAAATAAAATTGTAATTTTATTTTTAGGTTTTGTTTAGGTAGTTATTTTGTTTAGGTTGATATTGGCAGCATTAGTACAGATGGACAACCTGAGAGTAGTGTCGGCCAGATTATTGTTTTGTAATAAAGCATTAGATGTGGAGAGTTGACGGTGTTGATTCATTAAGGGTCATAGTTAAATTAGTTTGACTTCGTGAGTTTTTTCTTTTATATGTTGCTTCCAGTTGAGCCGAGTATTTAAGTTTAAGCCAAGTATTTAAGTTTATTGTTTTCTTTGTTGGTGACCAATTGATGGTGTTATTATAAATAATGGAAGAGGGTAATTGTGTAATTTAACAATCCATGGAATTCTCCCTGACATTTCCTTCTTTAAATCTTTCGTTCTTTGAAGACGGGAGATGCAGTTAAAGTTTCACATATCCAAAGACATTATTGTCTATCAAAGATGAACGACTAACGGTATACATCATTATTGAATTGATTGCTGAAAGTATATGCAAAAGCAGCGAGAGTCTACTGCAACTCCAAGTGCAATACAGGAGAAGCGTCATCGTAACTCGGGCACTGAGATAAGCTGCTCTCCACATCGCGACCTCTATAACACGACACTAATGAGGACTCCGGTACTAAAAGAACACAACGGTTATTGAGTACGGTTTCAGCCCTTACCTCGAATCAATTACCACTCGACAGTTTGCGCAACTGGAGTGTAGAGAGGACACCCGAAGTGGCAGTCGCCCCTAACGAAGGGTCATCAAAAGCGCATTTAGCAGCGCACCGCTCGCCCCGCAGTCAAAGCGAGGAGCTGCGATCCTCGAGCGCCACCGAGAGCGCTGCGCGGCAGCGCTGCTGCGCTGCACGACGCACGGCCGCCTGCCCGCCCGCCCGGCTGCGCCTTTGACTCCGCCAAGGACACGCCCTACCTCTCCGTTACGCGATTACGTTGCGGTTTAACGTGAAGGGCCGCCCCCGCACACACAACTGCGATGGTTATAATTACATGCGCTATTCATGGCTTTGCGGGCGGAGGCTTTCTAGGGAAATTGGCGCACGTGGCAAGCACTAAATGTTCAC